ATGAAAAATGGGTTGGAATCGATTGAGAAGAATAATACTTGGTAGTTAGTTGATCTAACAGAAGGAAATAAGCCAATTGGTGGAATATGGGTGTACAAAGTAAAGGAAAATCCCAAGGGTGAAATAATCAAGCATAAGGCTCGATCAGTTGCAAAGGAATTTTTACAAAGATAATGCATAGACTTTGAAGAGTTATGTGAGGTCGAGTATATTATTGCTTCGTTGTGTGCGTGCCTAGTCGTGTGGTTGATGAATCTATTAAAGGAGTTGGGCAGCGAAGAGGGTGACGCTGTAATGCTCATGCTTGATAACATTTCTGCCATAAACCTTGCTAAGAACCTAATTGCACATGGAATGAGCAAGCATATTGAGACGGGGTTTCACTACTTGAAAAACTTGTTAGAGAATGAATGTTGAGATTGAGATGTTGTAGAAATGAAGACCAAGGGATCGATTTATTGATCAAAGGAGTCACAATTGAAGTGTTCAAGAGATTGAAAAAGAACATGGACATGGGAGACTTGGCACACTCGAATTAAGGTGGCGCATTGTAAAAAATCAACAATTCAAGTATTGTAATTGATTATTACGTTTTGGTAACCGATTACAAATTGTAGCGTTTTTTGGCTTTTAGAACGATTGTAATCTATTACTGTATTTTTGTAATTGATTACCACTGTGTTGAATTTTAATTGTCATAACAACTCTAAACGGTTACAAATTTAATGTAATTAGTTGTTTGTATACTTTTGAAGTGGAGTATCAATTAATAAGAATGTTGAATGCAATTTTCATCCTCAATTATACTCTCTTTACTCAATTACTTAATTTTTACCAATCTTATGATTTCAAATTCTAACAAAAAGAACAAATCATTTTAAAATTTAAATTTAAATATAAATATAAAAAAGTAAAAACCGTCTTTCCCCCAACTCGTTTTCATCATGCCTACTGAAAGCATATTATCTGACCTTTTTGTTTGGACAGCACAATGAAGAAGATCCACAATTCAATTGAAAGAACTACTATTCGGAACTCTAGATCGGGTCTTATCTTGGACAAATAATTCCTTACTTTTCTAGCCATCTTTTTCAATTCAACTGTTCTTCGAAAACTCTAATATACCGAAATGCTATTCTACAATAGACAGCAAATAATAATATTCAGAATATAAAAAAAGCTATACAATCAGAAAAGGTAATTTATTTGGTTAAGAAAAAACAACAATGTTACTTATGAGTTTATATGAATCAAAATCGGTGATAATGGTGATAATCGGCCCAAGCTACTAAGAGATTTAGGCCCCGTAAGAAAACTTGTTTTTTTTTAAGAATTTCTTATTACATCTTTATATTTTTTTAAGAGTCTCTGTCGAAATTCTTATAATATTTTTTTAATTTAAATTATATTTTGAATTATACATCTCTAAATAAAATTTATTTTTATGAAAAAGAATGTGTTTTCGTATATTCATATCTAAAAAGTTTTCTGTTATATTATTTTTAAAATCATTTTTTATAAATTAAAATTTAATATTACTTTCTCTATTTAATTAGAGTGAAAAAAAATTATCAATAATGAAAAATAAAATAATTATATTTATAATAATAACATAATAAGTCTTCTTTAAAATTTTTAAAAATGGTATCCTCAAATCAATGCAAAAGTTAAATAAAAATATATATTATTATATTGGTAAAAGAATTTTCAACATTGCTAAAATTTCTATTCACTTTTGTTTAGTAAATTATTTATTTATTTTTAATTATTTCTAATTTATTATAAAATAGTTATTTATTTTTTAAATCTTAAAATTACATTGATTTTGTTTATGTTTTATTTCTAATTTATTGTTTTTGTTTTAAAAAAATATATAAATAGATAATTTTTTGGAAATACATATCTAAAATTACTTTTTCTGTAAAAAAATAGAATTTTTTTGAATATATATCTCTAAAAATATTTTTTTATATGATACGATCAGTTATGTATATTCGAAACACATTTTAGAATTTTTAAAATTTTATTAACCTCATAAAAGTATAATAAGAAATTCTTTTTTTTTATATATTAAAAAGTATGAAAATAAATAAAATTATTTATGTACGTGTTATTAAAATTCTCATTTTCATAAAGAGAATTGTCTTTACAAGCTTGATTTATTTAATTTTTATGTTACAAGAGGAAAAAAGAGATTATGTCCTATTAAAAGACACTCTTGTAACATCTGCAAACAACATTGAAGAAAAATAAGGAAGTTGATTACCATCACAAGAGATCTTATACAATTTAGTACCTTTGATTTGGTAAGGATTTGCACAAGATTTTATTTCTTTAAAAGTTTGGTGGATGGAGATGTCTCAATCCTTAACTACTTAATTAGATAATTTCGAATTAACTCCAAAAAATTAGCATAATGATAAAAATATGGATGTTCTTCGTCACTAACTGAACACGTGGAGAGAAAAAAACACTATTTATTGAAGCTTGTGTTTCAAGAGATGAAAATATATGTTAAAAAGAGTTTAAAGATCTACATCTAAAATGTTTGACAAGTACACATTATTGAATTTGAGACTTCACATTTAAGAGGTGAATTGTGTAATTTCAAAAAATATGTTTTTGAAAACTTTTTCGAAATTAAAATTAGAATTTGAAAAATCTTTTTTTAAAACTTAAGCGGAAAAAATAAATATTAAAATGTAGAAAGAAAAAGCTAGAAGTAAAACGGACCACCGAGAGCTATTGAAGTTTGATCAAATCAAAGGACCTACTCTTCTCTTCAAGAATTAATCTTGAGAGTTTTCATTATATATTTGAGAGTTTTTAATATGTGAAGCTCACGAATCTCATTATACAAGGAAATGGTGGTTGTCCTACAATCATGATAATACAAGACGAAAGATATGATTGTTTGCATCTTCTTCATTGTTGAGACTGAAGTGGCCAAGATTCCTTTCCAATTATAGATTGAAGTGATTAAACTTCTCTCTACAAAATATATGAGTTTAATATGGTTTAACAGAATAACCATTAATCTCTTGAGATTTTAAGAGACTAATCTTCTAACCTATAATTTTAAACGGGTTAACCATGAATCTAATGGTAAACTCATTAATATTGATAATCTTCAATATTTGAATAAACAAGGTTTCAAAGAGTCTTAAGAGAAGTTTATCAATATTAACGATCTTCCACCTAATCAATCATGGGAACTAATCACACAATACTCAACCAAAGTTTTTAATGGGTTTAACTTCTAACCACATATTTGTATCCCTAAAATAGATTGTATTCATCCAAGGTGCAAAAATAATAACCTTGAAAAACTTTTATGTTGCTACCCATTCAGAATTACAACATCTCACTCACAAAATATCTTTCCTCACAAAAAAACATTTGACTATAAAAATTATTGACAGAAAGTGAAAATAAAAAACTTAGAGAGAGTGTGTGTGTTAATACACAATTCATATTTTGGATGCTTTGAACCGAGAAATGAGACCTCTATTTATAGAGTTCAAATCTTTTAAAAGAGGAAACATCATTACATAAAAAATGATTGTTGTTAATCGATTAAGCCAGTCGATTAGTTCATTTAAAAGTAATGGCTATGATTTCCAGAATAGATAAGAAGTGGTATATAGTCGTTGTTAATCATTTGGGTATATTCAAATTGCTTTTATCCTCAAAAGTGTGTCAGTCTAATCGATTGACACTTTGTCTTAATCAATTAGATTTAGTTAAAATTATTTTTCTGACTTTTTGAATGTTCTCATTACTTTCTAAACAACTTTTATATATTTCTTCAAAATATTTTCAAAAAATATTTTATAAAAGATGTTCTAAGTGTGTGTGCGCGCGCTCTTATAGCCATCTACTTCTATAAAAAAGAAACTTTATTTTTATAAAAGTTTCACTCACTTACTAAAGTAGGATAACTTCTCTAAACTTGTGTCTAACGTATTCGTTGTGTTAACACTTTGCTTGAGATCTCCTTAGACTTTTGATATAATCCATTTGATCGCCTTTACTTGAGAATTTTCTGATGTCTAAAGCTTCATCTAAATATGAAACTTTGTCAATCATTTATCAAACTCATGACTTGCATCTTTAATTGTTTGAATATATTTGTTGACTTTTTAAGCGATTGCATCTTTTCCTATGTTGAATATGTTTATGCTCTTTTACATTTGTCATTGTATTCCATAGTTGACATCTTCAAAACAACATTTATTACTTACAAAACAAAATTTCACACACACTATACCACCTTAACTTGCTTGTCTCAAATTCGTTTGTGCCGCCATCAACATTTGAGATCCAGATATCATTATCACCATGTTTACAACACATTTCTCTCGGAGGCCAGATAGGGAAAATATTCCAATTACCAAATGTTCAAATATATATCACAAACTAATGCTAAACAAATATACCATGGATCCTTACCTATATTAGTCGTCTACCTAATTGTATGTAATATGAATGATAGGTTTGATACCATATTTTATCAAATTATATTCTAGATTGAGTGACAGGTGTGGGCGAAAGCAAATTATTATAAAATTCAGTAATTCTAGATTGAGTCAAAGGCTTGATGTTTCATAGAAAGTATGACAATCTCTAGAAGAAAAAATGTGATACCAAAATTATATATAAAACATTAATATAACATTTTACATTATACTCTTCAATATTTATTCACTTTTAATTCTTTTAATTTATCTTTCTATTAAAGATAGTTTTATTTAATTACTCATAATTATCTTTCACATAAAAAAATTTATTTATAATTATTAATATTATAAAAGTGGCATATATATTTTTTTTAAATTGGACTAAGCATTTCCAAATTCTAACAGAATAGCTTTATCTTTGAGCAAGGAGGAGAAAAAATTTAATATAAGGCATCTCTCAAACTTGCATTGAATTTCACACGCAATTGGGCCGCTCTAGGTCCAAGATAATATGAGTTCTATATAACTACAAATGTTGGCATGATGTTTGGCAGTACGAGATTATCCTTTCTAACAACATATTATAGGTCGATTATCATTTTCAACTTTAACAAGGAACCTTACAAAAATTGGATTCCACATAGGCAAACCGAGGTTTTCTTACATGAGACATACGTACCTTGTTCAGAAACTTTCAAGACATCAAATCACTCGCAAATTGTAAATATTAAATATACAATAGCAAATGCTTAACATATTCAAAAAGATTGCCTGCCGCAACTTCAACACAACTAATAAGATCAAGATCAATAAATAAACATATTGCATTCAAGCCTCATTGGCCTTTCATGCAGTGTTTTCATCAGTGCCTTGAACGGTTTCTTGTCCTGAAATGTCAACTTTCTGAATCAGTAAATCACAATTTAGATGATGAGCAGCAACAATCCTCAAGGCACAAGAAATGAAAGGCAATAAATTAACCTGGGAGAACGAGAATAAGGAGAGCGCGATCGAGAAGGGGACTGAATGCGAGAAGGGGACCGAGAACGATTGCGGGAAGGGGACCGAGAACGGGTACGGGAAGGGGATCTTGAATGAGAGCGGGAACTAGAGTGATATCTTCTTGAACCCCTACTTCGACTTGGACTTCTACTACTACGCCTGTATCTTCAGCAGTTAAACATAATATTTAATTAACCAGAGGGAAAAACAAAGCCCACTATACCCCAGTTTTCAGAAGTCCCCAACACTGGGTTAAGGTGATCTATTAAAGTTGGACAAATTACAAATCCTAGAGCATAGAAGGTGTGATAAATACCTTGGAGGGGAACGACTGTAACTTCTGCTGCGGCTGCGGCGTCTATACCTACTCAATCGACTAGTTTCAGCAAGCTTTTCCTGCCTCTGTCGCTCCTGCTCTCTTTTCTTAGCTATTTCTGCAGCAGTATCTTTTTTAACTGCAAAAGAAAAATAATGCTCTATGTCAGAAAATGTTGGAAGGTTATTTGGTTTGCAGTTGAGATATTCAAACGGTCATACTTTGTTTGTTTAGTTGTTTGTTCATGATCCTTTTAAGTCTCTCTTGAGGAGTTTCTTTCTTCTCCCCTGGTTGAGGTTTTAAGAGCCCTCCAGAACCACTTGCCTTTAATTTTGCTAGTGCCGAGCCTGAAGATGTGCTGTGGTAAAGAGAATAGCAATACGCAGACAAATAAAAAGTAAATAAAAAATCAGAAATTTAAAAATAAAATTAAAAAAAACTGAAACAAATATCCCATTGTAAAAACAAAATTCCAAAAGAAAAAACTGAGAAATGAAGACTGTAGATTAATTATATGGTACCAAATACCAATGATCAAATGGCAGTACTATTAAGATATTAACTGTTTAATGAATATAGAATGGATGTTGATGCAAAATCTAAGGGTAAATAGAGATTACAGTGTTAGACAACTGACACGGAATACTGAGGCCTGCATTTGGAGTGTACTGTGTACATTAAGGAAACATTGTAATACTGAGCAGAGGAATCAACCAGCTATGGACGATTCAGACAAGGGGGGTCATCTCATGTTTATCTTTTAATAGGTTGTTATTCTGTTCTGTTAGTTTTTTGGCATATTTTTACGTGGGTGTTTTCTCTTGCTATCTGGCATTGGCAGAGGAGACCATTTATTGGGAACCTCGTCTCTTTTGGGGACTTGTTAGTTTTGTGGAAACAGATAACACTTCCTTTGCCAGAGCTTAGCTCTGGGGATTGTTTTGTTCAAATTTGCTGACTCACTTTTATACACCTTGTATATATCTTGAGGAATTCAATTTAGTTTTTTCCTAAAAAATGTAGTTCTACTATGGTTCCTAACAGATGGTACCAAAAAAAAATCATTTTAATAAAAAACCCATTCAAATTCACATGGTTGGGTGCTGGTATATACCTTACAGATGGCTTCAAGACTTTAGCACCTTTATCAATAGATACACCAGAAGCAGGATCGACATGCAATGCTTCGAGTATGCAACCAGATGATGACCTGCAAGACAGTAGATGTATCAGATAAAATAATTGTAATATATCCATGCAGCTACAGGTCTTAATGTAAAATGCAATTCAGGGAACAATGAGCTTCAAATAGGAAGCCTCGTCCATCTTCCTCTTGGCTAACCCTGCAATCCTAGATATATTCTTAAGCACAAAATTAGCTCAGGCAACAATATGGGGGAAATGCTGCGCAGAGAAAAGACTGTCCAATCTATCTTGGCAATAGTTAAAGGTCCAGTGCTCCGACCGGTTTAGCATATCAACTCGAGATGTAGGAGATCGCGGTGGAGAAAACCCTTCACGCTTAGTTCCATCTGCCTCTCCAGATCCTTCAAATTCAGTTATGTATTCTATTTTAGGAGTCTTTGGTTTGCTTCGGAGAATATCATCAGAATGACTGCACCGTGAATAACGCTTTGCATAGGATGGGGAGTAGGACCGTGATCTGGACCTTGACCTGTAAATTGAAAAATCAAATATACCAAATAAAATTTCCTTCACAAGAATGAGTTAAATAGAAAATGAATGTGATTATGAATTGCAAATGCTATACCTCCTAGAACGAGAATAAGCTTCGTAAGTAGGACTTTGCCTTGATTCCCTGCCCATATAAATTGGGTCAACATTAAGACTAATATGCAAGAATAATCATCTATCTATTTGTAAGTGGGAGCAAAATTTCACATATTCTTTGTTCAATCTGAAGCAGAAAAATATCAATATTTTCTACCGGTAGGGGTCATGATGTAGCACACGAGTTCCAGATGTCCGGGTAGCATCTCGTTCTCGCTCCCTTTCAACCTGAGAAGCCTTCCTTCTTTCTTTCCGACTCAGTTTCCTCTATAAAATTTATAATAAAGACCATTCAAAATCATCTATACAGTAATCTCTAAATAACAGCAAAAATACTGTTCATTCCATTATTATGAACATTTCCACTTACAATTGCTGGATCACCTTTGATAATCTCCTTTTGCCTTTTTTGTTCCTCCTTGGCTTTCTTATCCATGTAAACAAGCCAACCATACCTTTTGACCCCATATTCTTTGGCAATTACCTCCATTCCTTCATCATTGCTATCATCACTGTTAAACTCCTCATCATCCACGTCATCTTCATCTTCTTCATCATCATCATCTGAAATCTGGGATTCCTCTTTTCCGTTTGCTTCATAAGAAAACCCAACCTGTGAGTAAGATCCCTTGCTTGGAGCAGGCTGTGACGTATTAGATCTACAAATGTACATGAAAACAAAACAAAAATAAGTTTATGCGTCACTATGTGTGAATAGAAAACAACATGTCATATATAGCTGCCAATTATAGATCTACGGACCAGTTCAAACCAAACAATAATCAATAGATAATTCAAAATCAGGAGATAGGATAACAAATTCACAATTGAAGGACAAATTGGCAAATCACAAAGTCCAAAATTACTAAAAAGAGAAATGAGGGTTGGACCGAGTTTCCCTCTTTAGAGCTGGACTAAACTTTATAGAGCTAATTTACAGCTCATCAAAGCTGGCTTCATTTATCTCATCATCCCTTTGGATTCATAGCAAACTTACAACAGATTTGCTCCTGCTGTATGGTTTGTGACTGCTAATAATAATGGTGCAGATATGTTCAATGTTGTGATGATAATGTTTTGTACACTAAGGAGCCTTGTCATTTAATGATTGCATTTTGAATTTTTATAAAACAATGAATCACTGTTTTTTAGGAATATCTAGGAAAAGTAACCATAATGTTTTAGACTCACCCCAGTTTAGGTAAAAACAATTTCGTATAGGCATTGATTCAATTTCGAGTCTAGAGTTGTAATCTCATAGAATTCTACCAGAAAACTCGAGTGTTCGACAATGATGACAATAATGACTCAAAATAATCAGTAGTTCTTGGAAGCACAATATTGTTACCATGTGTTTCTTAACCATCTAATTATTTGCATTTAGAACAAAAAACAGACGCAAAGCCAACAGTTATTTACAAATTTATTTTTATATACCAAGCAATGCATATACAAATATATGATGCATCAACGCTTATGACATGAAATAAACAGTTAAATATGAATGGAAGGAATCTTCCAACCTGTCTGATACAAATGGAGCAGTGGCTTTGGCCTCCATTTCTAGATTTACATGTTGCAAAGCCTCCTCATCGGTAACTGTTACCATTAAAAACCAAGTTTGTAATTTTAGCTTCAAATTTAATCCCTGGATTTCAGGTTGGCATCAATTCTAGAACCTTTTGCATTACATTGCTTTAAGAGGAGAAAACAATGTTGAAAAAAGAGAAGAGATACAAAAAAAAAAAAAACACAATAATCAAACTGTTTATGTTATGAGAATCAAACTCGTCGTCAAGAAGTAAAAAAGTACCGACATCCTCTACGCCGATGCTTTACTAAATCCCGATAACGCTCAAAATTAACAAACTCTTCTAATTCTTCTTCCTCCTCCGACTTTTCCTGGACACGCCTAAAACTACTATCTCGAATGAAATCAAGCAGAGCACGTCCATCAAATCTGCCAGAGCATAGGATTAACAATCAACTATCCATTACTAATCAACTCCTCAAAATATATATACAAAAGAATTTACAGGAACAATGGAAAAAACACCATACCTGTCAATCAAAATATCCTGTTTCCCATTCCAAGGTATCCTGAGAAACAAATGAATTATAAGAACATATCCGCATAATTTTCACTCCTAATTTTCATGAACAGCCAAAATTGAATTGAAAAAAATCGAAAAGTTGAAGAAACAAAAGAGAGAAACTAACAGGCCCTGTTGATCTTCGGTGGCTTGATAAAGAGCGTCGTCTCGATAAGCTCGAGCACGAGAACCAGCGACCTGAATTGATTGTTGAGGATCTCCACGGCGTTTGGCGAGGTAAATCGCTCGTCTCTGTGCTCGTTTTCGAGCCGCGTCCATCATGTCATGGACCTTCTTCTCCGACCTTCTCGCCTCGTGCCACATCTTGCTTCTACTTCTTCTTCCTCGCAATTTAGATGCGATTGAAAAGGAAAACCCTAGTTTTGTTGATTTTCGATCAACCAAACCTCATGAATCTTGAATTTCAGTGATAATTGATTTTGTTTTTCAGCATTCTTCTCCCATCTAACTCTACGTGGTGATGTCTTTCTTGGACCTCGAATTGCTGCTAAATCCCACTTGGGCCCAAATAATAATATTCACTTGGGCTTAAAGTAATCACTTCAGCCCAACAAAAATAATCATATTAGTTTTCGAGATTGCTTAATCTACTTAAGTATTACTTCTTCACCCTCGTGAAAAATTTAAACTTTTTATAAAATTTGAAAATGTATTTTCAGACGTGTTCTATTTACACACAATTCATCTGTTTTTGAATCACACTATCATTTTATTTAAAAAATTCAAAAATATACTTTCAAAATAAATCTTAAAGTATATTTCAATATTATACAATAACCTGCACATATTTGATGTGCTATGACGTCACACATAAATATAATATTTTAAAATTTTGTTGTGTTGTTTTGCTAACAGCAATACTATGGACACAACATTGGACATTATAATTATTAGAGGATCTATCAATGTAGCTCATCCCTCTAACATAGGTGGTCACATAAACAAAATTATTCGAATTATCATGTATACAATTATTTAATAACATGTTACTCCGCAACTGTTTGATTCTTCATTTTATTTCATGCATCTTTTCCAATTTGTTGGTATCGTTATAGAATTTGATAACACGTCATATCACATATGTTCGGATTCTATAACATGAACACGCACCATGACATGCATTTGGATTCCATAATCTAAATTTTAGAATATTACATGTTGATTCTTTGATTTTTTGCTAAATTTGCTGATTAGTTTATGTTTTTGTCAATCTTCAATAATGGATGGGAACAATGTGTGGAAAAAAATGTGTTACATAGATTTCATTAACCAAAATAGGACACTCAATTTTCGCCTCACTGACCACGCTGTGTACACCAGTCACACCTTTTTTCTTCAAGTTTTTTAGATTTTTGATTCTAGAATTAAAACATTTAAAAAACATGATTCATATTCTAAAGTTTGAAGGATAATTTGATAAACATATGGACTTTTTGAGAGTATTGAGGGGTGGAAAAAAATCCACCTTATTTTAAATTTAAGGTTTTCTTCTCCCCTTATTACTACTTAAAATAGTTTAATTCTTTCTAAAATAATTAAAATACCTTTGGTTGGTGTTGTTTTATTTCTTTATGTTCTACCATTTTTTTTAGTTTTCTATGTTGGGATTCCTGTGAATTCAACTTTCATACAGTTACAATAAGTAAATTTACTAATATGTCCATAAGCAAAAAAATAAAAAAGCCGGTCCTCAATCTTAAATTGGGTGTTACTCTTCTTTAATCATCTTTTTTCTATTATATTATTTATCGAAATTGTTTCTAAATTTTGATTAACAATTCTTCATTTTTTACTACAAACAAGTAAATTAAGTTTCCTTTTCTCTTTGTTCACTTATGTATTTGTAGTGTATCACTAATTGTTCTAGGCTATGGTTGTTGAGAGCTCTTAGGTTAATATTCTCTCAATCACCATTATTTGATGTATATGCATGTGTGGTCTTTATTCTCATCTCTAACTTTGTTCTAATATTTTCCGTCTCTTTATGTGTTTTGTCTTTTTTTTTTTTTAACTTTTCACTTATTTTCCTTTTTCATCATCTAAATGTTTGAGTGAGTACTTAGATTCATCTTTTTTTACTCATCTTTCTTTAATTTTAAATATTGTGCATCAATCTTTATTTTTTTCTCCTACATTATCATCTAATAAAGGATAGTTTTATGTATGAAGTTTATCATCCATTAGATAAAAGAAACAATAATTCTCAAGTTTAGTATCAAGCCTTTTAGAAGAAAAGAAACATATATGATTGAAAGGAATACAAAATATCAAGTGTGACAAAAAAAATACGATAAATTATTTGTTGAAAGATATTTTTTCAAGGGCGAATATATATAAAGATTTAAGGACAAACAATTACCATTGATCATTGCATTTCATTTTTTCTTTGGTTGTTAATATTAGTAAGGTAGATCATCATCATCTTGCTAGTTAATTTGTATTCATCTTAATTTGATTCTTTATTGTTTGGTGAGCTCTAAGTTTTCCTTTATAAAATTGAGGGTAATTTACTTTCAAATGATGTATAATAATAAAATTTTGTCACATAAAATAATTTTAAAAAAATTATATAATAAGTCAAATTCTTAAGGTATTGGGTCTATGTCTTCTCTCACTTATAAAGTGTTCAATATCCTCTTTTTTATTCAATATAGAAATTATTACTCAGAGTTGACATACCAATATCTTACTACTCAAAGATCAAGTCAATAATTCTTTTCTTGATTTAATTTGATTCTTTAAGGTTTTGAGTTAATATTTCATTTTAAAATTTTACTTTATTTAGCAATATTTCATTTGTACACATCATTAAGGGTAAATTACCCTCAACTTTACAAGGGGTAACCAAGAATTTACCTTATTGTTTGCATAACACTTATATATAAAGTGTCCATATTTATTAAAATTATAACATTGGATGTTACTTTTGTCAAATTTATTCTTGCCTTCTCCACCTTTACTATTATTGTCACTTATATTATTTCCGCCTGAATTTCCTTGATTGTTGTCATGCTTTTGTTTTGGAGAATTTTTATCTTGTTGAGAATTTCTTCCATAAGAGTTGTGATAATCACTTATTCCTTTATTTTTTTCCATTTACATTTTTCTTCCTTGTATTCGTTTTATTGTGCATATAATGTTGCTTATGTTTTGGCATTGTACGCTCTTGTCTCATTCCTTATTTGCTCAAGAGCTTCGAATGATCCTTACAATTCTTCTTTGGTTATACTTGCAATATGATTTAATTCTTTAATAACCATAACTATATAATCAAATTTTGGTGATAAAGATCTTAAGATCTTTGCAACCGTATATTAAATTTTTTGATTTCCCTCGACGTGTCTTCATTTTGATTCACCAGTTTCTTAATTCATGTGAAAAATTCACTAATACTTTCTTTCTCCTCCATTTTCTATAAACTCGTATTGTCTCTTCTGAGGTTGTGCATAAAGTTAAATTGTCTCGGGATGACTTTTCCACCATATGTGTTGGTCAAAATAGAATAGGTTATTTTTCTAGGATTTTGAGACGATGGACTTCTCTTTCTATTTGATTCATTAAAGTGAATATTGATGGTAATTTCCTCCCTAATTCCTCAATTATCATTTATGGAGGTTTTCTTAGAGGCCCTTCAAAAGCTTTCTTGGTTGGATTTAATAGTTATGATGGTTTTGGAGATGTGTTGTTATCCAAACTTTTAAGTATTAAGCATGGTTTGAACCTTATTGTTGATATGGACTATTAGACTGTGATTTGTGAAAATGTTTTTCTTGTATGTAGTTTAAACCATCCTAGATAAAGTCATCAACATATTTCACTCATATGCAAGTGTGCTCTTCCATATTGATGACTTATTAGACCGAGTTTGGACGATCTCTCTTTCTCATGATCTTCGTGAAGTAAATGTTGTGTTGACTTTTTAGCTAAGGAAGAATCACATGTTGGTGTTTATTTTTGCAGATGGGCATCCCCTTCTCCGGGGTTGGGATCTCTGATTCTCTTAGATTCTTTGGGATCTCCAAGTTAAGTTCTCTTTTTACTATTTTTTTTCTTTTTATTTGTCGAACTTTCGTCTTATATCCTCACAAAAAATACATTCCCCTATAATCAAACATGCACTTTAAAGAAAAACCATAATAATTGTTTAGTACAGAGAGAAGATTGAAGATGAACACGCATCAATCGTGATTTCCCGGTTATTGATGTGCACCCAGCCTACAATATTCAAGAAGCACCCCCCTCTTATTGTTTTCTAAGTTTCTCTATCTCTAAAATGTATTTTATATCTCAAAATATCAATTGAATGCTATTTATAGAAAACAAAAAGTTGCAGCTCGCGCTAAGCCCCAAATCCTGAAAAACACATTAAACCACCTTAAATAACGCTAAGCACAAGAAAACAGTGCTTAGCATGCACACCTCTCCCCAAACACCTCTAAGAATGCTTTTACCATGCTAAGCGCAGTGGGCTTAGCGCAGAAATTGGGGCTTAGTCCCATTTGTAGTATCTTGCCTTTTTTTTCTTTCAAAAATGCATGTTAAAGCCATCTCTTTGCCTTTTGATGACCAAAGCTCCTCCAATGCATACAAACCTACAAAATGAAGTGTAAAATATCAAAATAAACAATATTTATATAAAAGTTGAGGTTTTGACTTGTTAATCCGATGAATTAAGTTAAGAAGTACCATTAATTCATTCATAAATTAAACATAATTTGACACTTATCAACTCTCCCTAACTTAGAACTTTATTTGTCCTCTAACAAGAGTCTCAACAACTTAAAGAAACCAAAGCAACTACTAAGATTTCACAAGATCAAACAAGTTTTGAGAAAAGAAGACAAATGCATGGTTCAAATTTCAAAAGTACAAGCAAAATGATTCTTATCACTATACTACAAAGACACCATGGTCATGAAACAAATCTAAGTAGAAAACACATGTCAAAAATTCTAAAATAACACATGCTCAAACATGAATCACACATAACACACAATTTCATCAACAGATGAAAAACAAACATGAGGGATTTGACTCTCACCCAATAATCTTGCTAACATCCTGATCAAATTATGCATTCATAAAAAAAACTCATATTGATAGCATAAAAGCACAAATCACAAAGAACTTTCAAGGTTTTTCATGTGGTTTGGTTAACAAAGAAGGGTTATATCTCAAGGCAAATGAAATGAAATTGCCTAAATCTATGAGAGCATTCACTTCTCAAATTCTTAAGCATTCACAACTTTATTCACCCTTTTCACTTTGCTCAATTGTTACACTCTTGATCACAGTTTTATTAG